TTTTTTTTTAATTATTATTTCGTATCACTTTTGTAAACTTTAGCAACAACTTTATGTAATAATGTCGTATGCAAAAATTCTGGTGCATGCAATATAATCTCACCAACTGATTCAACTTGTTGGTGTTTGTTAGGTAAAAAAAAAAAAGAGGAAACAAAGCCAAAGTATTGTAGAGATTATTTGAGAGATGAATTTATTATAGGTTTTCATGGTAAATATTGTGAACGACAAAGAGGTTAGTTTGAAATATTTTAGAATATTATAAATAATCGATTCATTTATTGGAAAAAATCTATAGCTGCTTCACGTTGTAATGAAATTCAATGTCAAAATGGTGCAATGTGTTATGAACATTCACCTGCAATGAGTGTTTTTGCTTATTGTCTTTGTCCACCAGGATTTACTGGAAGATTTTGTGAGACAGGTTATTATAATGAAGGAAATATGTTAACAATATTTTTGATTTTATATATTTTCTTTGTTTTAGAATATTTTCGTTGCTCACAAGTAGGTACTTTTGTTGATCAATATCAATGTGCTCAAGGTTCATATTTTCTTTGTGATTATACAAGTAAAAAGAAAAAAACATCATCTAATAAATTTCATTAAGATTTATTTCTGTTTCTTATTTTCTTTTTTCTAGATCGTCTTATTGTTGGTACATGTCCAAAAGGACTTCGATTTAATTTGAATAAAATGTCCTGTGATCATGCCAGTTCTGTTATATGTCCTAATATTTAAAATAAAATAAAATTAAAAAAAATAAGAAAAAACGAAAGAAGGAGAAATGATATAAACAGGATTAAAATATTATTATCCTTGATAGTCTGAAATTTCAAATCGTTGTTGAAGGTGATATTTGTGTGTTGTTATATTGAAGTTAACAAGGAAAGAATATATTTGTTCATTTTGTCTACTATGATGTTATTGAAAAGAAATTTGTTCAACCTTGAATAATCATATCATATTTATGTGGGTGAATTACATACAATAATAAAAAATATCGTATATATTTTTTTCAGTTAAATTCAGAAGGTAAAATTTGTTATACATAGCAGTTTGAAAAAAATTAACCAAAACGAAATGTTCTCAAAATTTTTAAACTATCATTTAATATGCGTATTTATTATATTAATGATTTGTCCATATATTACCAGTTCATTGGTGACTGATATTTATCGATATTGGTAAAGCAATTCTCAGTTTGGATCAGTGAAACGATGACTGATGTCACCGTGCGTCTCTGATATTGATTATGGCAATAATTGGAATTTTGAAAGAAAAATAACATAAAATATAAAATAAAAATGTGTCTAATTTTAAAATATAACACTAATATAATTTTCTGATCATCAAGAAATTTTAATACATTTTTTATTTGTGCAAAATTTTGAAAAATGAATTTCTCCTTAATAGAAATCTATGAAATTTAAATAATCTTCATTGACGTGCTTCATGAACATTTAGCAGATAGATTAGATAAATTGTGCATTAAAGAAATTTTATTAATTATACTCATCTTCAACATAACTGCTTGTTTCAAAGAAAAATCAAATAAATTTTTTCGAGATATTTTTATCATTATTTCATTATAGTTCAATTCTTATTAACATTTGTAAAAACTTGTTTTACATGAAAGTTTTCGATATTCGAAGTCTATGTCTTGAAAAATAAACTCAAAAAATCTTTACGAAAAATAGTAATCAACTAAGCAATGCAGTGTAAAAATTATTCTGAATATGATCATTAATATAAAATCAAAAATTTTCAATTTAATTAAAAGAATTTCAATAGAATAAGAGATTGAGAATCTATTTGCATATGATTTAGATATTTCTTTATTTCTAATGAAATATCAAAAATTTCTTATTTTATTCTATATGACTTATATAGAAAAGAAAATCTTTAATATCACAATATATTTATAACATAACAGTATTCTTGTTTCAAGCATAAGCAAATATAATATATCACAAAATATAATTCACGATTGAGTTTGATTAAGGGAGAGCCTTTTTTTTTGTTTTTAACAAGCAATATTATTTAACGTAAGAATAAGTTCTCTTATTTTTGATGCTTCTGGTTCGGAATCAACACGAAGTTGAGAATGAATTGTTCCTGATGAAAAACTATACAAATAAAATAATAAAGAAATACAAAAAACAAAATAAAACAAATTGAAACATACAAAAATATAAATCTTGTACAAATTAAATTTGGATCTTGAATTGTCCAAATATCATGGGAATGTTTTTTATAAACATCTGGTGAATTAATAACTAAGAAAGAATAATATAAATTACCAAAAAAAAAAAAAAAAAAATTAAATATTATTTTATTACTTTCACATAAAGCAATACAAGACCAATTTCGTTTTTCAAGTGGAGATTTCTACAAAAAAAAATCATTCAACATCTATTAGACTTTTAAAAACCTATTAAAGAGAAAATCTCTAATACAGTTAAATCTTTTATATAGATAAAATATTTACTCAATCGATAGATCAAAATGAATTATTTTAAATAGTTTGCTTTCTATCAAATCTTCTGAACAGAAATCACGGTTAACACTACTAAATTTGATCATTATTATGAATGTTTCGACTAATCAATATCTGATCCGTTACAAAAATTATTACTACTAGTAAATTATCATCTGTTCACTATACTCTCAAAGTTCGATATGATTCTGTTTAACGCATCAATCCATTGTTAAAATAAAACATGTGTTATGTATAGAGACCTGTACGAGATTCTGAACTCCAATTTTGATGGGGTTGAAGTTGATATAAGTTATGGAAGGGTGTGAATGTTGATGTTCTCTTTGCCAACACTCACACCCTGCATAAACTATCTAGAAATATCTTAAGTATACACAATTACTTGAAGTTATAGTAAAGAAATGATCAATACATAAAATCTTCCTACAAATACAAATTCATTTGTTCAAAGAATATAATATTTCAGTAGCAATAGACGTATATCACGGTTCAAAAAACCAAAGGAAATCAAACTTTACTAACACGAAAACTACCTGAACTGACACCCAATGTTTGAACTCATATTGAGACCAGAAGATCTTGGTGAGACTAGCAAAAGTCTATAAGAGTTCGTTCCCCGTGGACTTTTGAAGGCAAGTTATGACAGGTTTACTAGATTTTCGACTTATTTGTATGTGGACTCTGAAAATTCAAATCATAGAATTTCGATCTCTAATTTTCTCTATAAATAGATCTAATGACTGTTAGAATACTCTGATAGTTTTAATCAAAAAAACGTTCCTTCTTCAAGATAAAGAGTTTTCAAAAACATCCTCCTGTTATGGGTATATCACATAAAAGTCAAGTTCCATTGGAAATTCTATAACTCGATGAGGGAATGTTCTTTGCGGCTGATATTGTCAGAATATTTAAAGAGTCATTAGGTCTGCACTAAACATGAACTCAAACGACGGGTGTCAGTTCAGGTAGTTTCTTCGTAAGGTATTTTTTTAAAAAAATTTTATGGCTTATTGATTGAATAAATACTTAGTCTAGAAAGAGTTTTGACAGTTTTAAAAAGTTCCATTATAAACTCACATCTGTAGTAAAATCATTACTATTGTACGATGAACCACTGGAACTACGCCAACCGTGACGTTGTGCATAAGATGATGAAAACTCAAAACTAGGTGAAACATAAATACCAGCACCATATGCTGCACCATTTATCTAATTAAATAAAAATATTTGCAATAGAAAAATAAATAAAAAAAAATTTTCGTACTAAATATCCTCCTTTTCCAATTTGTAAACCTGAACGAAGAATTGAATGCCAATTTTCTTGTGGTGAACCATGAAAAGCAAATATACTTCCTTTTTGAGCTCGTAAATTTTTAAAATTAACATGTTTAACAATATCTTCATGTTTTATAAAATATTGATATGGTGTATCAACACTTTTAACTCGAAAATTCTCTGGAATTAATGAAAAATGATAACGATTGGTTCGCATTAACCTGAACAAAACTAAAAAGTCTTACGAAATTAAAAATTTTTTTTTTTTTTACCAATGAAAAAATGAAAAACCCCATGGATGTTTTAATTCAATCATACTTCTTAATGATATTCTAGCAGCTTCATATTGCGTTATTGATCCCATTGTCATTATATCATTTATTATTTGTTTTAAAACTTCAATATTTTGTTCTTTCTAAAAAAGGAAAATAAATCAATTACAAAAATAAATCTTTTTTTATTTTTATGTTTCTTTACATCTCCATTTTGATCAAGTAATCTTGTTGATGTATTATATGGATTTATTAATTTTGGATAAGGATCAAGAATTAATGCATGTCGAGAAGAATGAATTGCTGCATAAACAAGTAAAAGAAGAAAATCTGCAATCTGAACAAAACACTTTTCTTTTTTAAAAATTTTTTTTAGAAATAATATCAAACAAACTTCGATTGAAAATATTGATGGTGGAAGTGGATCATTACGAAATTTTGAATCCATTGCATTACTAAAACATTCATAGTCATTACAAATTGTTGGCTAAAAGAAATTATTTCATTTAAATTTGCAATACAAAAAAAAAATTTCATTTTTACCTTCGAAACTTTTTTATCAGTTGGATCAAATGTACGTTTTCCACACATAACACATAAAGAATTTAAATTTCGCATACGATACTCAAAATATTTACAAAACTAAAAAATAAAAGATTTTTTTTATACATTATATCCGAAAAGTTAGAAAACGATACATCCTCATTGGAATTAAATATGATCAAATGGCTTTTTTTCTTCTGTGATGATAGAAGAGACTTGCCAGTTTTTATTCATAAGGTTTAAGTTTATAAATACTCGTGAAAAGTATAGATTTCGAATCGAATACATAAAAAAGCTTTGCCATCTAAGTTAGTTTCTGTGAATTGTTTATATCAACAATGATCAGTTTTTTTCCGCTCTATCCAAAGCTGAAATAGAAAACAACAGTTTTGAAATTGGAACTAAAAGTAATTTCGGAAAGAGCGCTCAGCACCGATCACAACTGCCATGAAGAATCTTGAGGAGTTTGATAATACTCAATACCGGAAATATTCTAAACTCCGATTAGAAATTCACGAAATTGGTTTATCCCTACTTTCAAAAACACATGTCTAGTATTGAGGATTGCTAAACTCCTAGTAATTCTTCATGTCAGTTGTGATTAGTGTTGAACGTTCTTTTCGAAATTATTCTTAGTTTCAACTCTGAAACTGTTGTTTTCTATTTCATGAATTTCGACTACAGTTTCGGTTAGAACGAAAAAAAATTGATCATTGTTGATATAAACAATTCATAGGAACTACATTCCTAATAAAGAAACCAGAATAACGAAAAAAGAAAAAGGAATTCCTCTATTATCGAAAAAAAGGCCACTTGATCTTTTTTTTTTGGAAAGCAACTTTTCGGAAATCTTTTCGATTATAAAGAAAAATTTTACTTGAACAAGATAACCATAATTAAGTATTGGTAATTGTTTTATATCAAGACTATAATGTATTTTTGTATCAGAAGATTGCACACGAGGTATTTTAAGTAATAGAAATTTTTTTGTAACTTTTTCACTACCCTCAAGAATTTCATAATCAAGTAATTCGTTGACTAAATTCTCGTCATTTGTTGGAAGTAACATTTCTTCATATTGTGTTCGTTTATTTTTATCAGATACGAGTTCTAAACTAAATAGAGAACGATAAAAAGTTTTCTTTAGCAAAAAAAAAAAATAATTAATTAAATATTAAATTCATACAAAAATTTTCTACGTAAATCAGGATTTAAAGCAGCACGTGATAATTGTAATGTTTCCATTGTTATATGAACCTTTTCAAAAAAGTCACGAATAAGTCTGTAGGAATAATTCGTAAAAATATTTCTTCTAGTTTTATATTTATGTTCAATTGTTTACCGTTCTATGAACGGCACTTTAATTGCATTGGCTGGATGACAGTCACATGTTTGATATACACGTTTAACAACAACTTAAATCAAAAAAATTATCAATTAATTACACATTAAAAGAGTTATTCTTATATATAATGTTCAGTGTGTGTGTTTGTGTTTCTCTGTGCCGGGTCAAAGGTTAAAGGTCAAAAGGTTAAAGAATCTAGAATTTT